TATATCCCCACCACAACAATACAATGGTATAATAGCACTTAGTCCTTTTCTGCATTATTGAAGGAAAATAAAAGCAAAACATTTTCCACAGTCTAACTTATATACGAACTGAACATGATAATAACAAACTTTTTATCAATTGATAAACAAACATATTAAATCACAGTATAAATCGTTATTCATGCACAACCACATAATATAAACATATTTCACGCTGGATACAGTTATTTCATGAACTAAAAACATAAACAAGCATAGTTACTTTTTCAGAATAAAACACATTTTCTTTCAATTTTTTTCCCTCCTATTTCTCACCATATAATTTATACAGAATTAAAGTTATTAGTCTTCCCTTTATCTTATCAAAATACACCATCTACCCCCACCCCCTTCCGAACCCCCTCTCTCTCTCTATCTATCTTCCTCTCTCACTATACTTGTATGGAGAGGGAATTTGGGGCAGGCCCTGGTATTAATAAAGGCAGAATATTTTTTCGGGGGGGGGGGTGTGAGAGTGGTAATTGTCCTCGGGGTAATTGTCATTGAGTGGCGGTTTTATTCGGGGGGGGGGGGGAGGGGTACTATTCCGGACGGGGGGTAATTGTCAAGTGGGTAATCGTCCTAGAACTAGAGGGGAAAGGGAGGGGGCGCATAAGGCTAATGTCAGAATTAAATGCTGATCAGTGGGATAAGACGATCAGTGTGATAATATGACACTTCTATATCAAAAAGCACTTTCATTATCGTTATCTTTCATATTCACTGTTTCAAATGTAATGTAGCTCTCTTTTTCTTCAATGTATGTTTCACGACTTTCAAATATGTTTAAACACCTCAAAGTTTGCACTTTGATATTTACGATTCGTTGTAGACCGAGAATGTTGAACCCGTGGGTATTCTAACATGTCTGAAAACATTTTGAGCCTTTTTTAAGAGTTCAGCTAACGCCGCTAAAAGCCAGCTAGGAAGACGGACGATGGGTGTTTGTTGTGCCCTCTGACAACTTGTTCGAGGTTCAGGAGAGCGATAGTCCACTATTTCTTTGATTTGTAGGGCTAGGAAATGTATACTTTTGTTTGATGATTGTTTTACCTGACTGCTAAGAACGTCAAAGAAAACAAGAAAACAAGCAAGGGTCGATGGCTTTGAGTCCTCTCCGAGAGACTTGTTTATGGGGATTAGTGCCTTATCAAAGGGCACAACCTGCACTGACTTGGCTTCGAACCTGGGACCTCCCGATTACGCAACCACTGCTCTACCACTGAGCCATCGCATGAACAGGAGAAAGAGAAAATATTTCTTTGGAGAGGGCTTTATACCAAGTTCAAAGAAAAAAAAAAATTAAAACCTTCCGTAAAATGCGTGTCGCCTTTATGAGTTAAAATGGAATAAGTCTCCAAAGACTAATTCATGAATCAACACATTGGCTTTATGACCCACACGTAATTGTTTATACCGGCGAGAGAGAAAAAAAATCCCACGAGTCTTTATTTCCATTAATTGCTGGAGAATTAAATTTAAATGGGGCTCCCATAACCCGTGTGTCTAGATTGACACCTCCCGGTTACCTCCCCGAAAAAAATCTACTTTTTAAAAATTCTTTCGGTTATAAATACACAGAGAAGACGTTGTTTAAAGTGCTAACAGTTCATAACAATAAAACAGCATGTTGAATTTTTATACAGGTCTTATTACTTGTAAACAACCCTTTTAAACGGTATTTTGATTGTGCATAATCGTTTCCAAACATAGAGGTCCGAATTCACAAAGCAAGGTTTGAGCTCAGACCAAGGTTTGAGCTCAAACCTCCTTTTGTTTCGCCAAACCTCCTTTTGTTAATTCTTTACAAACCAGGTTTGTAAAAAACGCGTAAAACGCGTCATATGACGTACGAAAACCAAGGTTTGTCGACAAACCTCCTTTGTGAATTCGGGCCACAGAGTACAATGCTAATTAGATACGAACTCAAGCTAAGCTAAAATAACTTAGTTTAGCCGCAGAGGGAGCTAAACAAGCATGACGAATCTTTCAATGGGTTGAACATTGATCGCAGTTTTTCTGGCTTGAAAATGACGTCACCGCCTTTCAGACATACACAATGCGGCTTTTCGTGGACAAATCCCGCATCCGGGATGCGTCTTATTTTTTCGTACCACGACAAGGCCGGATTGAGCTCGCGAGGGGAACCTGCGCATGCGTACTCGCGAAGGAAACCAGCGCATGCGCACGTGGAATCCGGTAGGGTGGTTAATAAGGTGATAGTAATTATTCAAATTATTCTTTTATCAACTCATCGTTAGGTCAATCGGTAAAGACAGCGTGATACCAAAATAACTTTGGAGTTGACGTGAGGGTTCAAATCTCTGTTTATTTATTTTTTTGGCCTTTATAAATAGTGAGGCAAAGCAATACATAATCAAAGTACAAGTGTTTGTGACCTCCTTGCAAGCTTTCCTATCTTGTTTTGTATGGAAATGAGTTCATACTGGAATCTGGGCTCGCCGTGGTACGAAAAAATAAGACGCATTCGGGATTACCTCAATGCAGCTTTCCTGCATGCGGTCTTACGTTAAAAAGCCGCGGCTTCTCGCACATGAGAATTAATCCAAGGCGCAAAACGCAGATGATTAATTATCCTTGATTACGTGATTACGTCCCTTAAAGCAAGTTCATAGCTTCAATCCTTATATTTGTATTACAATCCATTATCACATGGATGGTGCTGATGTTGGTGAAAATGATGATGGTTAAAAAGTTAAAATGAAAATGAAAATGAATATATTATATGCTGATGTAAATATACCTGACACAGAATGTGTATGTATTGTGGATAATCACCCCTGGAGCGATTAGTATCTCGGCCATCGACGGGCAGCCTGTTGCCTTGTTTATGTTTACTTAGCAACCGGCGAAGCTATGCATTCAATACGTCACAATCGCATATATTCTATAAATGCAATTTATTGAATACGGTTTATACTATGAAGTGCACAGGATGAGCGCATTTTTGGCGACCAAGTGGATCAGCGTGGTATGGGGGGGGGGGGGGGCGTTTCACAATTCCTCTTTTCATTGACAAACGAAATCAGTGACAAATCTGTTGATAACCAATCAGAAGCAAGGATTTCAATAGCTTATAACAAAAACTGTAATTTGTCATTGATGACAAGTTTTGTGAAACGCCCCATGGTTAGTGTGTAAGACATATCAAACAATTGAGGAAAGGTATTATTCAAACACGTTCTCAATAGTTAACACAAAAATGACATTGAAATAAATTGAAGGTAAAGTAAACGATAGCAATAAAGGTGTATGCTAAACACACATTATTACTTGTTACTAACATAATGTGTGTGTGTGTGGTGGGGGGATACGATACGATACGAATACTCCCTACAAAGTGGAGAGGGTGCATATTTGGTACTGGAATAATCAGAGGGAAGTGTTTTGGCGTAATCCCTGCATTGGAATGTCAGTACGGTCACACGCGCTTTAGTGACCCGTATGAAAAACCAACCTGTCTATAAAGATCAAATTTTTCGTTTTAATGGAATCTAGTTCTAAAGAAAACCATGCACATAAACCATCTGCCTATAAAGACCATTTCTGTCCCGAGTCCCTCGAGTGTTCGTTATGCATTTCTATATACACGGTTGCGGCTTATGTATTGCAACATCAACAATAGAACAGGATGATACGGAGTTATGATTGCCAACAATGGCCAGCACCTAATTTATTGGCAAAGAAATAATATTTTTCCCGTCCTAATAACCCTTTCAGGGACTTGGCTCTGCGCCTTTTTGTAATCATTCTACACACAGGTAAAACTTCCAGTGCTATCTGTTTATACCCGTGAGCCCTATTTTTATGTTAGGGAAAACGATTTTAATCGTTATAGTAAAATGAAATTATGAGGGACTTGGAATTGGTACTAATTTAAAAGCAGATGTTTCTGTTCAAATTAGGCAACGCAGCCAGTTTCGGGCAAACATTACCCCATAACTTGTCCTAAATTGGATTTGTTATGACGATTAACATCATTATTGTAACTTCAAAAACAACAATATCAATATCAACAATAATATATTATCATTTTTGCAAGTAATATCAACATAAATGGTCTGATCTGTATGTGGTAAAACCTTGATAACTTCATCACTGGCTCCTGACCGTAGCCCTCAGCGACAGATTTCATTCATAAAAAGGCTATCGCGAGCTAATTATCATAATGGTTTCGCTCGTTGCCATGGGACCGTCACAAACCAACAGTCTCACCACCAATGCACAAGCAACGGCGCTCCGTGAATTAATTCAATAGCTCGTTATATGCAAGGGCAATTATATATATGCGGACCAAAAGCAATTGACTTACCGTTGGAGAGGGCAGTACTTTTAAATAAACACTCTTATAAACATAAGCTCATTCAACACTCCATTGCTTGTAGAAAAGCTTTCACAAACAGGATCTACTATCGTCTAAGCAGGTAATATCAATAAAAGTCATATTTGATAATAAGATAATAATAGTTTATTGTGTATATGAATGATGATCTGCACGGTTGTTGATATTTAGATTTTGTGACAATAAACAACTGTGGGCTAGCCTATACACATATCATATATATATAAATACAAAAGTTGAATAAGCCAGCGAGATGACCAACCATTTGTTTATACGACAATAGGCCATTTTCGTAATGTAATCAAGTTTAATGCAGAAATCTTTGTCAACTGCCTCGATACAAAGGATTTTATTCTTGTGTAACGAATAACTGTATAACTGTAATAACTTTACTTGATGCCAGGTAGGACAATTTTTTTTTGGGTTGCCCTACCAAACAATCCGTAATGTATTATGTTGCATTCTAACTATTGAAATATCTTTATTACTATTTACTGGTGAATGTAATATTAATATTGAGGCCCTTCACAAGGATGTATGTATTACATTTGGTTATACATTGAGAAAATAGTAAGTGGTCACTGTTGTAGGTAGTCATCTGCACGTCATCAATAAATTACAATTTAAGGTATCTACTACCACGTTTACCTAATCATGGAGAAATTCTTCAATGTTTATCTGACAGTGTCTGACGGTTTATCATAAACATGGGGTCTTCAGCAAGTACCAGAAGGATTTCGTCAGCCAAGAAGGCTGGAGGACCTTCCTCACTCAACGAAGTACATGCTGGTGGACCACTAACGGAAGGGCAGAGCAAACCGTTGACCAAAGACGGTGCTGTTGTAGGTCTAGATGAAACCGATGGCGGTCCTTCACAACCGAAAGCGATTGCTTCACCGGACCTGCAAGAAGGCACTATCGACGATGCTTCGGGGACATTTACTAACATTTCAGATATTCTTATCGTTGACTCTGCAGCTGCTAAAGCAAAACGGTGCAAAGAGTTCAGTAACGGGGTCAAAACATGTCTAACTCGTATCAAAGCCAGTATCAAACACATTCAGGAGTGTGAAGGTTTCCCATGCACCTCGTGTCTTAAAATGACGACGGATATCACGACAGTTTCACGTAACAGCAACATTGATCGGAACGCTGTAGGGGATGGGATAGGCATTGACACAGACTACTGCAAAATGTTTGCTTATACGTGGAAAAAGGGAGATATGTTGAAGAAGATCGAAGACGCTGATCAACAAGAAGAACTACCACATGAGACCACACAAATGTTTACATTTTACATCGCACTGCTTGGTTCCGCCTGGAATTTTACGGACAAGTCTGATTACTTCTGTTTACAAATGGAAGAAGATGGATGCCTGTCTTTGATTGTCGATTGGTTTTTACACCTCGTGGAGAGTGATAAGGCGATGAACAAATGGGCAGATGACATGATGTTTGATGCGATGAACATATTGGAGAACGCCTGCAGAAGAGTACCGTCTCTGGCTCCTAATCATCACAGGGCCGTGCCTGCCTTGCAAAAGTTTGGCGAGTCGGAAGAGACCTTGACACAGACGATAGCATTCACGACGCTGGCAAAGCTGGTGAAGAAAGAAGAGGCCGACAAGCTTTCCACCAACTACACCTGTATCGTATCACTACTTTCGTTGTTGAAGAAATGTCTGTCCAATCCTGACCATAAGGCAAAGACACGACGACAATCATCAAAGAAGAACATGGTGACCGTTATTACTATTAATGCAGAGGAGTTAGTTCAATCTGTAGATGACCTTGCCATCAACGACAACAACAAACGGCTGATAGTAGAAAAGGGAGGCATTCCTATCCTCGCTAAACTGCTCCAACGAGATTGTTCCGTGGAGGAGAAGACTTCTGCCGCCAACGGGCTATGGAGACTTGCATTTCTCAAGGAAAATAAAGAAAAACTGCGGAAAGAACAGGGTATTATTTACAGTAAGTAAACATTCTCTATATTTTTTTCATAATCATTATGATATGTGAAGGTAATTTCAACGTAGCGATGAAGCGCACGAAGTGTCGTCATAACGATCCAAGACTTGAGATAATTATGATCGGTTCATTTGGGCTTAAGTTGAAATCATAGGTGCCCATAATTGGGGAGGGGTAGCCTCAAAAATATTTTGGCAACCACCACGATATGCATAGCAAGATTGAGGAAGAAGAGGGGGGGGGGGAGCGGAGGGTTAAAGTAGTATTTTGTCTTTTTTGTTTAAGATGAGTAAAGAACAAAATCCGTATATGAGAATGAGTTAAAGTGACTTGGTAACATTGTTAAAGGCTGATGAAAAAATTGCTTAATTTTTGTATTATATTTCTTTTACTGTACTAACCCTCTGGCATGCAAACAATCCTGAAAACATTCTCAAACCACGAAGATATCTATGGTTTTCTTTGAAGGCGTCATTGTGCAACAACCTCTAACAGTGATTAACAGTAAATTTTCCCAACCGTTTTTCCATGAAAAAAGACATATCTCAGGCTATTAAAAATCGCTCAACACTCAAATGTCTTGAATGGTATGTAGAGCCATTGAGCCAATGTATTGCTTTGCGACGATTTGCATTCAGTGACACCTAAAATGTAATTAAATTGTAATAATATAGTTGGGAGAATTAACCCTAATCAGGCCGGGGGGGGGGGGGGGGCATTGTGCCCCCCCTCCACGATTTTTCCGATTGCTCGGGAACGCATGGATGGCGCCCCGCCGCCCGCTGACCTTTTTCTATCGAGTCTTGGGCATCTTTAACAAAAGAAAAAAAAATGAAAATGAAAATCGGACTTTAGTTACAAGGTCACGTGACCTATTGTCTTTGCATGTGTACAAAACATATGGAAATGCCATTTTTCCTACAAATAGATTAAACATGGTTATCTGGTCTTGTTTAAAGTTTAGGTGGTTGTTTTTGGAGTCAAAATAGAAATGAAATAAAATAACCAAAAAAAAAAATACATAAGTTAAAAAAAAAAAAATACATAAGAAATTATCAAAACAAGAGATAACATAAGGAATAAGCTGGCTCTTCCAAAAAAAATTGTCGTATTTTTATTCTAAATGGTCTAATGAATATATGTACTGGGAAAAAATGCTCAAATATGAATAATATATGATTTATGGGTAAAAATGTGATTTTATGACCTTATTTGCATAAATTACCATAAATATGCAAATAAGTACATTTTTCAGAAAAATGAAATTATCATATTATTCTATACACTTCAATTGACATGCGAGCACATTTTCGGGAAGATCGGCTGCTTCAAGGCCGAGATCTTAAGGGGGAGCCATAATGCCCCCCCCCCCCCGGCCGTACTAAGACCTCAAATAGCCCTGCCTTTTTAGGTTAAGGTATCGATCAGATCAGTTTTTCCAAATTTGTATCATTAATAATTTGTCAATTTTCACCCGAATTTTCTGATTATCTTTAATTGTACATCTAGCATTGAAGTCACTACCTAAGCGCCACTTTTTCTCATCTGAACAAAGTTACCAAGTACCTTTAAAATATTGAATATTCCCCTCGTAGACACTAATAACATAAAACGTTGTGCAGTGACGTAATGGGCCCAGAAGAAGTAAAACAAAATAAAAAATCGTCCATTGTAAGAGAGGAAGCATGTCTTGTGTTTAGGGCTAGGAGGACGTTACGTATGTGCTCCAAACAGACGATATCACATTTTCCCATTTCACAAAACAAGATCTGACGGAGAATTCCCAGAGTGAAAACGAAAAACTCCGCAATGCCTGCATGGGCGCTCTTTTCGAGATCTACGAATCTAAACTTCCCGAAGGCCTGACGCGTAGGAAAACAGATGTCGAGTCACCGCAGAAGGCGACGTCGGGCAGTGCGAAGTCCAGTGGACACATCATGCTCAGCTACAAATGGGAACACCCGTCCAAACCTGTGATGCGAGAGTTCAAGAAACAACTGCGCAAAAGAGGCTACAACGTGTGGATGGATGAAGACCACATGAGTAAGTTCATCTGCAGACACTTCTCTTAGAAACAATGACACATTTCAAACATTATGGGAATTTGATAAGCTGACAAATTCCGAATGAGGCCCGGGAAGATTATCACAGGAAATCCACTTTAAAATGATACTGTTATTTTAATGCATTTCTGTGTTTTGCTCATTCATTCAAAGTTGCAACATATTATCTAAGGTGGTGAAATTTTGAATAATATTTTCTTATTTGAGAATTAGATTACCAGCTTGGCTGCTGGTAATTGTATATAATTCATATTTCTTTTCTCCACCAAAGCTCGAGCTTGATTACCATGGTACTTCTTTTCCTATTTCTTTTGTCTTTTTCTTTATCTTCTTTTCTTCTTGTTCTCTTTCTTTCTTGTCTCAGTGGGTGATAAAATCGGCGCCATGGCAGACGCCGTAGAGAATGCTGATATGGTCATAGCTTGTATCACACGTGGTTACCAAGATAGTCAAGACTGCCGTACAGGTTAGAACAGATTTACCTCTTCTTCTGAGCAATGTTATTTGACTTAAAGGGAGAGTGTCGTCAGTTTCCGCGTGCAGAAGTTCACAATTCGATGACACCAGACTTGATGGGAATACCATTAATGGGTGTAGAACTCTGCACACCGCATACCCATGGTTCCATAAAGAAATAACCTCTTGTGTCTAGGAGAGTACAGTCTTCGGATGAGGACAATTTAATACAACGACTTTATATTCTATAGGGGAATGCAAAGCATTACACAAGGCCTGTCGGTCATAAAACTGAAGGCTGATCCTGCAGTGATTTTCAACACCTGCTTTTGGGGCAAAGACCCAAATGGTGTTGAATTCCCCATGAGAGCCCATTAATATGCGTCTTTAACCTTTCATTTGCCATGGTACTCAATAAGTTATCCCTCATCATTGTGAAAAGACTGTGTCAAAGCAAGTTTAAAAGTTTGATTATTCATAACATAAAACTAGATGAAAAGTTTGGGATTTCAATTCATCAACATGATAAGAGAGTGACGAGAGGACGCGCACAGCGCACAGTCACATGCACGGCACATATAACTGAATATAAGGTACTAAAACACTTATGTGGCATGAACGCTTGGGCCATATTTCTTAAAGCTATTTCTTGTCTAATTGTGAATGTGAAATCATTTGAAAAATAATTACTTTTCACATCTTAAAACTGCATAAAAACAATTAGAGAGCTCATTTTATGTTTTTCTTTATTTTTTAACCACAAACCGACTTTTTCATTATAATAATCGAATTTTCAATGTGATGCTTTTATGTCATGTTTTTAGAAGCGTCTTATGCTTACGAATGCAAGAAGAAGATTATCCCTGTGAAGGTGAGTAATGACTTCAAAGCTTCTGGATGGCTAGGCGGTATCACGGCAGGGAAGATCTACTACATCGTTCAGCAAGCCGAGCTTGTCTCCGAGGTACTCTCCAGCATCATCGAAAAAGAATTCGCAGTGAAGAAAGAAACTGTCCAGAACGTGAACGCTGCTCCCGGTATGTCACTCACGTTGTAAATAGAGAGAGAGAGAGAGAGATTTAGATTAAAAAAAGAGAGGGACCTATATATAGAAAGATAAAAAGAGAGAGATAGAGAGAGAAAGAGAGAGAGACATAAAAAATATAGGAGAGCGAGAGAGAGAAAGAGAGAGAAATTATTGCATTTGCTTTGATTTTATCCTTGATTACGTGAAAAGTTGCTACTCTGTGGATGTTTTTCTTAAGCATTTTGTCAAATAATAACTCAATTTTTAATGACTAATTTTTACTTTGCCTTATACTCTTCCATTGTTCTTTATTAATATTAAGATATTACTGTATATAACATAATATATTTAAGCATAACCACCGTTAAACGTATGCAATGATACTTAAAGTTTTAATAATTATCTTTTTTTTTCCAGTGAATAACAATTTACTCAGTTGGAAAATCAAGGCTTAAGAATTGAAATAAACTATATCAGCTTTACAGATACGATTACGTTTAGATTCTGCGACATTTTGTCTTATTTGTTAAAGTTTGTTTTTAATTTGTTGTATTGTGCTTTTTTCGTTGAAAGGTCCCCCATCCCAAGAGGAAGAGCCGAAGACAACTGTAGTGGAATCTCAAGTCCCCGGATGGGATTCCAAGAAGGTCCAGGAGTGGCTGGCAGCTAACAACGTCACAACACGAAACAAAGCTTTGAAAACTTTTAATGGAATCCAACTGCTCCAACTGAAGAAACAACTGATCAATGTCCCACAAGCTTTCTACCAGTCTATGAAAGATGATCTTAAGGTCCCCTATAGTGATGTCCTATCACTTGCTGGTGCTCTTGAGAAACTAGATTAAGTGATTATTATCGTATTCGGACACCTACTCCCTGGACAACTACCGCCCGGATAAGTACCCCCTAAACAACTACTCCCTAGGGGGAAGTTGTCTGGAGGGATGAAAGGGGGGGGGGGGGGGTGTCCGGGGTAGTTGTCCTATGTGATAGTTGTCCTAGGGGGGGGGGGGGGTAGTTGACTGGGGATGGTTATCCGGTAGTGGATGTCCAGGGGGTTGGTGTCCTTGAACCATATGTTATTACTATTATCATTATCTAGCAATGTTTATGTGTGCACATTATTTTCTTCTTTTCCTCTCACTCTCTCAAACCCACTGCCATCTTGGGCATATGCGTGTGTGTGTTTATGAGTGTTTGTGAATGGCGAGGGAGGGGGAGGGGGGGGGGGGGGTCTTAGATTGCTGCATTGATCTGCATAAAGTTTACCTAACTTCTTATTTTTATTTTCTTCTTATTCTTATTTTCGGCCTGCCTCAAAACATTTCAATATGAGCTTTTTTAGTCCTTAGTCAGGTTCCCATATTTTGCTTTAGGACTTAACAAATCTAATATTTTTAAAGAATTAGCTCTTTTGACCAAGGGAAAACAAAATATAATGCGAACCTTTTGAAGAAAAAAAAAAAAAATATTTTAGCAAAGTATGATCATTTGGAAAGACGTTTTACCGTCAAAATATAACCTATATTAATGAAAATGTAATATTAGAGTGATGCGATTGATAACAACCATTACTAACGATTACTCAGACTATAAGTAATCGTTAGTAATGGTTGTTATCAATCGCATCACTCTAATATTTTACAAATATCAACTGGTGATGATATATAACAATATTTTGAATATGAAGGCTGAACACTTCTACTCATTACTTGTGCAGAACAAAACGAGAAAAGTACTGCCCTCCTATTTTAATTGGAATCCGGTATTAATGTTTATTTTCAATGCTATACGAGATAACAGATTTAAAAAATGTAATTTTTCAGCTTTTGCATGTGTTTTTACCGTCAAAATATAACCTATATAAATGAAAATCAAAAGTGATTATGTATCTAGAGATATTAAAACCATTGAAACATCACGGTTTATGTTGCTTGCGTGTACAAAGATAATTGTGTTTTGGGAAATTGTAACACGTTTGATATATCATTTGTTTGGATTAGATATCAATATAAATGAGAAGACTTTAGTAATTGGATTTGATTGGCAAGTTAGATAATACCTTGGTAAACTTGCTGATTACTTTTGTTAAATAATTATGCATATAAGAAATACGTTAAACATTATAAAAATCAAGAAGCAGAATGAATGTATAACTCTTTTAACTGTTTTGAGGGTATGAATTGATGTCACATTTAAATTCTAAAACAAAAGAAAAGGTTGATGAAAAATAGGTAAAATCTTTGACTTATACGCTAAGATAATGTTTTAATTTTATATGTTTATGTTCTTCTAAAAACGTTGTACAGTGTATATAGATGTATATAGTGGAATACAATTTCCAGAAAGGTTAACAAGAAAAAAAATATATTAGTATATAATTTATGAAACACAAATAATTGATTCAAAAATAATTTTTTTAAATTTATGTTTACGAATATATGTAAACAGATCGACAATAATCCATGAGCTCTATTATTTCTTGATGGTTTATTCCGGGACAATTTATTTATTCATACATATTTCTAACAATCTTATTTTTTTAATGCATCGGGTCTCCCATTTTGGAAATTTCAAAGGAATTGTTTTCGGTTGAAATAAGTGATAACCGTGAAAAAAATGTAAGATTTAAATTTATCGATGAACCATGGTTTCGAAAATAATAGAAAAAAGACATCGGAGAATGGAAACAGGCATTCCCTTTTACTTTTTAAATTAATGACTTCACTGAAATATATTTTTTATATTAAAAGACATATTTTATGCATTATAAAATATTGGAGTTGTATTTTTTCGGTAACTTCTTATTAAGACTAGAAAAATAAGAGGGAACGGAGATAGAGAATGATAGCAAGAGATAGAAAGAAGGTCAGAGAGAAAGAGAGAGAGAAGGAGAGAGAGAGAGAGAGAGAGAGAGAGGAAGAGAAAAGAAGTGAGTTAGAGATGGAGAGAGATAAATAGAAAACGAAAGAGAGGAAGAGTGAGAGACATAGAATGTGTGTGAGAGGGAGAGAGAGAGAGAGAGAGGAAGAGAGAGAGTTTGGGGGTAATTATCTGGGTGGTTTATTGTCCTTTGGGGTCAATTGTCCAGCTGGTAATTGGCCGGGGGGGGGGGGTGTAATTGTCGAGTGAGTAATTGTCGTAGAATCGTGGAGAAAAGTATGAAGCCAGCTAGAGAGAGTGAGAAAGCGAGCAAGCCTCCATTAGTCAAATGATGACGATAGATGATATCCGGAACTTTGACGACACCAAACCATCAGCCACGTTGACATACTTCCTGCCTATTTCCGGTGGGCTTGAACAATTAATATGAAATACAGTGGCGGATTCAGGATTCCAGTTCGAGGAGAGGGGGGGGGGGTGGCGAAACAAAATTCGTTTTTAGTTTTGGGGGTGATGGAGGTCATATGTCAAATGATTTCCTTTCTTCTCCTTTTCTGCCCCCATTGTATTGGGAGGGGAAGGGGGGGGGGGGGGGGGTGGGGCGGCGCATAAGTCCAATGTCCGAATACAATACTGATCAGTGTGATAATATTACAGTTCCATATAAAAAAAAAGCACTTTCATTATCGTTCTCTTTCATATTCACTGGTTCTAATGTAATTAAGCTCTTTTTTTAATAAACAATGTGTGTTTCACGACTTTCAAATATGTTTAAACACCTCAAAGTTTGCACTTTGATATTTACAATTCACTGTAGACCGAGAATTTTGAACCCGTGGGTCTTATAACATGTCTGAAAACATTTTGAGCCTTTTTTGAGAGTTTAGCTAATGCCGCCAAAAGCCAACTAGAAAGACGGACGATGGGTGTTTGTTGTGCCCTCTGACAACTTTTTCGAGGTTCAGAAAAGCGAAAGTCCATTATTTGTTTTATTTGTAGGGCTAGTAAATATAAACGTTTGTTTGATGATTGTTTTACAAAACTGCTAAGAACGTATAAGTAAACAACAACCAGGGGATCGATGACTTTGAGTCCTCTCTGAGGAACATGTTTATGGGGATTAATGCCTTACAAAAGGGCACGAGCTCATTGACTTGGCTTCGAACCTGCGACCTCCCGATTACTCGACCACCGCTCTACCACCGAGCCATCGTACCCTCTCCTTACGCAGAGGCAATTCTCCTTGGTTACGTGATGACGGCCATCAAAGCAAGTTTATAGCTCAAACCATGCATATGTATTAAAACACATTATCACTGAGATAGGCAATGGCATTGAGGGATTCCGACGGGCAGCTTGTTGCCTTGTAAATATTTACTTAGCAACGGGGAAGGCCGCGAAGCTATGCATTCAATAATTCTCGATCGCAAATATGCTTTGAAATTAATTGAATAGGGTAACAATAAAGCACGAAGGATAAACTCGATTTATTTGACCTCGTTAATCAACATCGTCTGCTAGGTACAGTGTATGAAATAGCAACGATGGGTTATATTCCTATTCGTTCTTTTTCCCCCTTTCCTATTCGTCCTTAATATTTAAAAGAAATGAATTGAAACAATTGAATATAATTAATTGATGTCAATAAAGGTGCATGAAACACAGTCACTATTACGTTATACTTACATACGAATGTTTATGTGTGGGGAGGGGGGGGGGGAGGGGAGCAAGGCTGTAAGAATACTTCCTACGGAGTGGTAAAAAAATGCTCATATTGAAATGAATTGAAGATAAATAAATGATGGCCACACGGCGCATACAAAGCTGACCTTATTACTTTATACTAACATATGCATGTGTGTGTGTGTGTGTGTGTGGGGGGGGGGGTGGGTGGGGGGGGGTGCACTTGAAATACTGGCTTGAAATTCACTGACCAAGAATAACCATATGAAAACGCATTGATGTAATCACAAGCCACTATTATTAACTTGCAGTATGAATGTCCTTATTACAGTCAACGCGCTTTAATTAGTGATCGTTCGTATAAAAACCCACCCTGTCTATCAACACCTCACTTTTCCGTCGTTTCCCTTGAAATATCTGTTTTCATTGAAACGTGTTCTAAAGAAACCTATGCATAAAGACCATCTGCCTAAAGAGACCCCTTATTGCGTGTTCTTTATGCATGTATACAGTTTTAAATGGAACGAGATGACACGGAATTATGATTATGTACAATAGCCAGCAGGTTATTAGCAAATAAATATTAGATATTGTCGTCATAAAAGACCTTTCACGGGCTATACGCTCTGTGCTTATTTGTACTAAATCTACACACAGGGAAAGCTTCCAGTGCTATCAGTTTAGACTCGAGGGCTGTTTTTTATGTTTAGGACATCGATTTTTATTGTTATAGCAAAATGAAATTATGAGGAACTTGGCATGGGGACAATTTGAGGTGTGTTTTGTTTTACTCAACGCAAGCGCAGCCAGTTTTGCGAAAATATCAAACAGTAACAAAAATTATCTGATGTTTCTGCATTTATTGGAAGAATCAAATACTAAATAATCAAATATAAACAATAATAGTATATAGTATAATGGATTGAAATCAAAAGTGACCACTGAAATACAATCCCCACTCAAAAAATGCATAAGGGAAACAACAAATGTGCTTGTTATAGTCAGATGGTCTTTGCAGACAGGTTCCTTTAGTACATGTTTAAATGAGAAACCATTTTCAAGGGAACCTAAAAAATGTGCCTGGTGTAGACAGGTGGTCACTAAAGCAGGTTTTACTGTATACACTTTTAAGTATGGAGATAAATCAAAGAATCAAGATGAATGCAGTGCAGACGCCAACTATCATAAGCATGATTGCTTGAGTTGATAGCAGCCGAGAAGATGAGGGGGGGGGGGGTATTACCATATGACCTTGGAGCCCTCAACGACAGAATTCATTGATAAAAAAGCGACGATGCGGGAATTAACATAAAGGCTTCGTTCGTTGCCAAGCGACTGTCACAAACCAACGGTGTCCCCATCGCTATGGCGCTTTCAATAAATAGCTCGTAATATGGAAGGGGCGACCATATATGTATATGCGGACTACAAGCACTGGACTAATTGTGGGAGAGTGCAACAATTCTACATAAACGCTCCCATAAACATAATCATTTGACACTACCTTGCTTGTAGGAAAGCTTTCACAAACAGGATCTACGATCGTATGAGCAGGTAATATCAGGAATATTCATATTTGATAACGATTTATTGTATCTTGTGTTCTGAATGATGATGTGTTTTTAAATAAGTCTGCACGGTTGGTGATATTTCGATTTTGTAACAATAAGTACTGTTGGATAGCCTCCAAATATGATGCATATCCTAACGTTTAATAAGCCAGTGAGGTGACCAACCATTAGCTTATGCGACAATAGGTCATTTTCGTAATATAATCAAATTTAATGCACAAATCTCTCTGAACTACCTAGATACACATGATTTTATTCTTCTATTACGAATATTTGAATTCCAATAGAATGCAAACTGTATACATTAATTGTTGCTAGGTAAGACAAACATTGTGGATTGCCTCACCTAACAACACGTCATATAATGCATTTTGCATTTTGACTATTGAAATACACCCTTATTCATTTCTAGTGAATGTAACATAATATGGATGCTCTTCACAAAGACGTATGCATTAAATTTGGTCATATTAAGAAAATGGTTTATTCTTCAATTGTCTGGTCTTCAACGTAAGGTTAGGTGGAGAAAAAAAAATGCGTTTAGCGTCGGATGACCGGATGTAGTTGATATAGTGTCTTTTTGTTAGGTTCAGCGATATGGTCGCAAATGGATTTTGGTTAGGTGTATGGTCACGGGCGCAGGTGGGTGTTAGGTTAGCTGTAGGGATATGATCGCCACCGGGTTCTAAGTTTAAGGTTTAGGGTTATGGTCACTAATGGGTATCTGGTTGGGTTTAGAGTTATAGTTGCTATTAGGTTTAAGGTTAGGTTTAGAGCTATGGTCAGTAATGGGTTTCTGGTTAGGTTTAGAGTTATAGTTGCTATTAGGTTTAAGATTACGTGTAGGGTTATGGTCAGTAATGGGTTTCTGGTTAGGTTAAGAGTTATAGTTGCTATAAGGTTTAAGGTTAGGTTTAGGGTTATGGTCAGTAATGGGTTTCTGGTTAGGTTTAGAGTTATAGTTGCTATTAGGTTTAAGGTTAGGTTTAGGGTTATGGTCAGTAATGGGTTTCTGGTTAGGTTTAGAGTTATAGTTGCTATTAGGTTTAAGGTTAGGTTTAGGGTTATGGTCAGTAATGGGTTTCTGGTTAGGTTTAGAGTTATAGTTGCTATTAGGTTTAAGGTTAGGTTTAGGGTTATGGTCAGTAATGGGTTTCTGGTTAGGTTTAGAGTTATAGTTGCTATTAGGTTTAAGGTTAGGTTTAGGGTTATGATCAGTAATGGGTTTCTGGTTAGGTTTACAGTTATAGTTGCTATTAGGTTTAAGATTACGTTTAGGGTTATGGTCAGTAATGGGTTTCTGGTTAGGTTAAGAGTAATAGTTGCTATTAGGTTTAAGGTTAGGTTTAGGGTTATGATCAATAATGGGTTTCTGGTTTGGTTTAGAGTTATAGTTGCTATTAGGTTTAAGGTTAGGTTTATGGTTATGGTCGTTATTAGGTTCTATGTTATGTTTGGAGTTATATTTGCTATTAGGTTTAAGGTTAGGTTTAGGGCCATGATCAGGAGTGGGCTTCAGCTTAGGTTTACGATAAGGGTCTGAGGTGGGATTTACAATAGGGTTAGAGTTATTGTAAAAAATACAATTTAGTTAGGTTATTTGGTCAGGATCGCCATTGGGATTTAGGTTAGAAACATGGTCATTGTCACATGTAGGGTTTGGGGTAAAGTTTAGGGACATGTTCACAATTGGGTTTTAGGATAGGTTTGTGATCAGGGTCTCAATGGGTTTTAGTAAGATATAGAGGGTTGAAGTGTGACGTCATCAAAAATCTATTTCCTATATGAACTCAGTGTTATTTTGCTCTTTTTCATAACATTACGAACCAGAGCAAATTAACATTGAGCTCCTATTGCAAACCTGTTCATTCAGATGGTCATATTTTAGCCAATACTTAAAAATTTTAATCGTTTTTGACATTTGGACATTATTTGTTATGCTCTTTTGGAAAATGAAGAAACAAAAAAGAGAAATTCTAAAAATAGATTTTTATGATGTCACAGCTTTGGAACTTTACAAGGTTTAGGATAAGGGTTCGGTATTGACCTTCTGATTGGACCAGTGTCTCAGTAAGGTTTTAATTATCGTCTTGATGGGGTTCGAATTGACTGAGGAGCAATGGTCCCAGGAACATAATGTCGTACGATCAGCAGCTTGAGCAAACCTCAGTATTGAGTGATCATTCTTCCGCGTCTCTGTCAGGTTCTTTCGCTCCATCCAAATTTTACCCATGACATCACTTGCCTCTATGAAAAAATCCTGACTCATCGTCAAACAACTCTTTAACCTCTGCATTTAATGCCTTTGGAAACTTTATGAGTAATGAAGTCAGTGACATTGACAAATACAAAGATTGATCATTAAAATTACGCGTAGCCGGTTGACCGAATCTATTATTAATTTGACCGCGCTTTTGTAAAATGATTTTGACAAAAAATGTCATGTAATGTTTTTGTACCCCGGCCCCTCCACTCAGTGTTATTTTAGGGTACGCATATGCATGTTCCCTCCTTTTGAAAACACCCCATAATTCCGGTGTGTAAAACAGGCTTTTGTGTACTACGAGCCGGACTTTGGTGCGTGAAAAATACCCCTTTACCGGACATTTTGGTAACACGCATGACCCCTTCGATCACGGAGTTGGGGGGGGGGGGTTGTACACACCGTTAAATCATTCATAGGTTTATGTAATATACGCGTCCGCTTGTGATTTCGTAGAGGTGGGTGCGATAGATCCTCACAGATCATTCAATACTGTGCTTCGCTCCAGCTGATCAGTACAACAGCAATTATATGCATGATTAAATACTTGGAAATGAAGATATACATCCGACAGCGTAGTTTCTAAATAATTTAATTTTTTTCCCAAACCGTTCATGTCACGGGTAACTAGATAAATTGTTTAACAGAGTAATTTCATTGGGCAGAGGGCATTGATGACATGAGATTTATATGAGGGACTATTCATTTGATTTTTTATTTTCTGCAACGTACACATAACATTACAATTTAGCAATACAACATATACAAAATATAAGAAGACTATTGAACGTGTACACAATATAATAATACTTAAAATGATGACGATAAAACAAAATATAACTGAACACTCAACACCAAGGATTATTTATTAAGAAACGTCATCACTGAATTCTTTGTTTGGTGTCTAGGACCTACTACCACGTTTTCTTTTTGATGGAGATATTTTGATTAACTGCATTATTTATTCCACAGTGTCTGATGGTTTCTCATAAACATGGGGTGTTCTACGAGTACTAGACAAGTTTCGTCAGCCAAGACAGTTGATGGACCTTCCTCACCCAACGAGGCGAATGGTGGAGGACCACCGGCAGAAGGGCAGAGCAAACCGTTGTCCAATGACGGTGCTGCTGTAGGTCTAGATGAAACCGATGGCGGTCCTGCACAACCAAAGGTGATTGCTTCACCGAACCCCGAGGGAAAGGCGGATGCTCAGAATGTAGCGATTCAGCAAGAAGGCACTATCGACGATGCATCGGGGACATTGGCTGACATTTCAGATATTCTTATCGTTGACTCTGCAGCTGCTAAAGCAGAACGGATCGAAGAATTCAGTTACGAGGTCAAAAAATGTTTAACCCGTGTCAAAGCCAGTATCAAGCACATCCTGGGTTGTAGATGCTTTCCATGCACCTCGTGTCTTGAAAGGATGGAGGAAATCTGCGAAGTTTCGTGTGACGCCAACATTGATCGGAACGCTGTAGGGGATGGGTTGGGCATTGACACAGACTTCTGCAAAATGTTTGCTTATACGTGGAAGAAGGGAAATATGTTAGAGGAGATTGAAGACGCTGATCAAGACGAAGACCTATCAGATGAGACCGAACAAATGTATACATTCTATAACGCACTGCTTGGTGCCGGTTGGAACTTTTCAGACAACTCTGATTACTTCTGTTCACAAATGGACGAAGATGGGTGCCTGTCTTTGATTGTAGATTGGTTTTTACACATCGTGGACAGTGATAAGGCGATGAACAAATGGGTAGATACACTTGTATTTAGATCGATGAACATATTTCAAAACGCCTTCAGAAGAGTGCCGTCTGTGACCCCTAAGCATCACCGGGCCGTGCCTGCCTTGCAACAGTTTGGTGAGTCGGAAGACATCTTGTCCCAGACAATGGCATTCATGACGTTGGCAAAGCTTGTGAAGAAAGAAGAGGCCGACAAGCTTTCCACCAACTACACCTGTATCGTGTCACTGCTTTCGCTGTTGGAGAAATCTCTCGCCAATCCTGATCATAAGGCAGAGATATGGCAAGAAGCATCCGATGAGAACTTTGCGAAAGCGATTATTGTTAATGCAGAAGAGATAGTTCAATCAATAGTTGAGCTGGCAATCAATGACAACAACAAACGGCTCATAGTAAAAAAAGGAGGCATTCCTTTCCTCGCTAAATTGCTCCATCGAGATTGTTCCCTTGAGGAGAAGACTGCTGCCGCCAATGGGATCTGGGGACTCGCATTTCTCAAGGAACATAAAGAAAAACTACTGAAAAAACAGGATATTATCAACAGTAAGCAAACATTCTTTACTTTTTTTCATAGTCATGATTATAATTTAAACAACTCCATTTGTAAAACGTATGATGTTTAAAATAAATTGTACCATTTGCGCAAGAGGTGTCCTCATACTAATAACAGACTTGACAGATAATTATGTTGGATTTAAAATGTGAAAACAAAGGTGTAAGAAATGGGGAAATGGGCGTAGCTCCTAAAGATATGAACAGCAAGGATGAGGGCGGGGGTGTAAATGTAGTATTGTGTGCTAGTATCTTTTTTAGGATGAGTAAAGAACAACATAAATTTATGAGAAGGAGTTTTCAGTTTACATACAACGATGTGCAGTGACGTGTTGGGCCCACAAGAAGTGCATATTTTCTTGCATCCATTGTACGAAGCATGTCTTGTGTTCAGGGATAGAAGGGCGTTAAGTATGTGTTAAAGTTTAAAGGTTGATGCCCTTCTAGCTATAACAGTCGCTATCATATTTTCTTTTAATTACACAAAAAGATCTGACGGAGAATTCCAAGAGCAAAAACGAAAAACTCCGCAATGCCTGTATGGGCGCTCTCTTCGAGATCTACGAATCCAAACTTCCCGAAGGCCTGAAGCAAAAGCAAACCACTGGGAAAGCAGATCCCAAGTCACCGCCGAAGGAGACGTCGGCCAGTGTGAAGTCCAGTGGACACATCATGCTGAGCTACAAATGGGAACACCCGTCCAAAGCTGTGATGCGAGAGTTCAAGATGCAGCTCAGGAAACGAGGCTACAAGGTGTGGATGGATGAAGACCACATGAGTAAGTTTATCTGCAGACACTTCTCTTTATTAAATAGGAAGATTGACAATTTTCAAACATGACACGAATTTTGATCTTAAAGATACTTGCAGCCAACATCAACTTCTGTAGAACTTTGCAGGAATTATGAATATGTCATGTATGTCCTATCTGTGAAATTTAAACATTAGCAGTGTCCTAGTATTCAAATTATGCAAGGAAACCCGTTTACCTTCTAGACTTCACTATCAGACACTATTGAGTGACCGACTGACATCTCTTTTTCTTTGGTAATAATATATATATACATAAAATGAGGTGTAACAGGTGCATGAGCATTTGTCTCCATCAAAAACCCACTACTTGTAATGCCCAAAATTAAACTGATTGAAACTTTGTGCAGCACAAAACGTACGACCATTCGGTAAAAGGGTCTGAAAAACAGACTGTTACTTAGGTGATTGCAATCACTTAACTCGTTTTGACAACTAATGGTCGTTATATTTCCACTAAAAGCCATTTTGAAGCCCTTTCGTTTTGAGGGAATTTCTAAATTAGTATTGTCTTTCAAATGCTGTTGGAATTTAACCTTTTCATTTTTATGGCCTGCAAATGAATTAGTAATGATCTATAATGTTATTGTTTCATTATTGTAAAGCGCATACATATTTTCTCTGAAGATATAATGCGCTAAAAAAGTATAGGTTATTATTATAATCATTATTTAATAGTATTAATCCTCTTTTCTTCTTCTTCTTCCCTTTTTGCCCCTTCTTCCTCTCCTTTCTTTCTTCGTCATTACCCTCTTCGTTTTTTCCTTCTCTTTTCTTGTTCTTCCCTTTCTTCTCTTTTGTTCTTCTTATTTCTTATCTCAGTGGGTGATAAAATCGGTGCCATGGCAGACGCCGTAGAGAATGCTGATATGATCATAGCTTGTATCACACGTGGTTACCAAGATAGTCAAGACTGCCGTACAGGTGAGAAAAGATTTACCTCTTGTTCTCATAAAATAATATGCTTTTAATGAATGCAGAAAAAGTAGAGTAACAGAGCGAAACAAATTTGAGGGAAATCGGATAACTATTAAGGAAGTTGTGACTTTTGTAAAACGTATCAAAAACTATGGAAAAATGGAAATCACTACACAAATTGCCAATTTGGTTATCAGTCTGTGAAGTCGTTGCCCAACTATTCATCAATTGTTGTTTATATTTTCATCCCGTTAACTTTCCTTTTTATCCCCCCAAAATTGATTTCCCCATGCCTTTGCCCAGGTCATAAGATTTGTACCATATTCGTGCATGACATTTCACAAAGTCTGTCATGAACTTTGAAGAGTTGATACTATTTTTTAATATTGTTTATTAATAATCATTGATTTTTATATAAATAGTTTATCAAAATTCAACATTTTTCATGAGCTAAATCACAAAATCATCTTACTATTAATATAACTTGGATGTTGGTGTGAGGAAACAGGATTCTTTATAGGGGGAAATGGGAAAATTATATTATCAATGTAAAGAAAACAATAAGTGGATAGTGGGTCACTGGCGTCATAGACTCATGAGTGAGTTGCCAATTTGTCTTGTGATTTTCCACTTTTTACATGTCATTACAAATTCATAGCTTTCTTATTAATTATCCGATTTTCCTCAAACTTTTTATGATTGGTTTGTCTGATATTTCTGCCTATATTGAAAGTAAGTTATTTTTGGAGTAGTCTTGCCCTTCAAAGGGAGAGGGCCGTTAGTTTTTATATGCAGAAGGTCATAATTTGCTAACTGACTAGGTGGAAATATCATTAATGGGTGCACGAGGAGGCGCGATAGCTCGGTCGGAATCCGGCTCGTAATCCGGCGACCTGGGTTCGAAACCAAGTCAATGCGCTAGTGCCCTTTGGTAGGGCATTAATCATCATTAGCAGGTCCCTCGGAAGTACATAAATCCGTCGGTCCTCTTGTTGCTTACTAACAAGCATTTATGCAACCTATCAGTTGCAATGGTGCTCATTGAGTTCTGGTTTACGCGATATCATTGTAAAAGAGACTGTGTAAAATCAATTGTAAACGTTTGATTATTCATAACATAAAAATGGGTGTAAAGTGTTGGGATTTGAAATTATCAAACAGATAAGAGAATGACGAAAGGATACGCACAGTCACATGCACGGCACACATGAATTTCGTATGAATCTTTGGTTTATCATGTAGCTATTTCTTGCCATTTTGGGAATATAAAAGCATTTAAAAGACAATTCTTTCTTTTCAAGGGAAATTTATTTTCTGATAATCTTTCCCGACCGATATGAAAACAACGAAAGAGTTCACGTTTTTTCCTACCTGTACCAATTACTCGAACTTGATATTTTCACTAAAATGGAATTTTCAAGTTGATCTTAATATGTCATGTTTTCAGAAGCGTCTTATGCTTACGAATGCAAAAAGCAGTATATCCCAGTGAAGGTGGATGACTTCAAAGCTTCTGGTTGGCTAGGCGGTATCATGGCAGGGAAGATCTACTACATGGTTCAGAAAGCCGAGCTTGTCTCCGAGGTACTCAACAGCATCATCGAAAAAGAATTCGCAGTGAAGAAAGAAACGGCCCAGAATGTGAACGCTGCTCCCGGTATGTCACTAACACTGTAAAGGGATAAAGGGAGAGAGAGAGAGAGAGATAAAGATAGATAGAGGGATAAACAGAGATATATGAATAGAGAGAGAGGGATATATAATAAAGAGATATAAGAGAGAGAGAGAGAGAGAGATAAATAGATAGAGAATAAAAGAGAGAGAGAGAGAGAGAGAGAGAGTATTGCTATATATATAAATAAATATAAAACTTAACAGAAGTAGTTCATATCGTTTGATTTTGTCCTTGGTTAAGTGATAAGTGGCTACTCTGTGGGATTTTTGTATACCAATTTTATATAAATAACTCAACTCAAAGTTTTCTTTATACTTCTCCCCGTTTATTAGTTTTAAGATATTACATAGTAAATGACATAATAGGAAAATGCATTAGCATCATTAAAAGTATTGATGTATACCTATAATTACAATATGATTATATAGAAAACAAATTTTAGTTATGTATAACTGTTGTATAACTTTATGTATACTTATAATTATAATATTATTATGTAGAAATGTATTTTAGTTACAGTGAGTACCGATTTACCCAGCTGGAAAAATCAAGGCGGGAACATTTGAGTGAACTTTATCAGATTTGCAGATTGGTAATACGCGAATGATGGCATGACCAATGGAGATTACGCTAACATTTGTGATATTTTGTTAAATAATATATAAATATACATGCTCGTTTCGTTTCTTTTACTTTAATTTTCCTTGAACGGTCTCCCATCCCCAGTGCAACAACCAAAGCCACCTCCAGCAGAATCTCAAGTATCCGGATGGGATTCCAAGAAGGTCAAGAATTGGCTGGCAACTAACAGCGTCACAACAAGTAACAAAGCTTTGAACAATCTCAATGGAAACCAATTACTACAATTGAAGAAACAACTGACCACAGTCCCACAATCTTTCTACCAGTCTATGAAAGATGATCTAAATGTCCCCTATACTGATGTCCTATCTTTTGCCTCTGCTCTTGAAAAACTGAATTAACTCTTTGCCTACTGGAACCGGGTGGTCCCTGTGTTAAGCCTTTGGGAGTGAGATAATTCAGCAGTCAACAGGTTAAGTCATAATCATAATCATGATGATAATGATGATTAGAAGGTTTACACTCTATATACCACACGAATAATCTCCCTGAGTCATATTGTAAATACCATTAGAAAGATATACCAAAGGCCTAAAGATTATAGAACTGGTCCAATGCAAGATTAATCTGTAGCGGGGTGGTAAAATGACTGTCATAGAGCTAATCGAGATTGGACATAAATAACTTTGCAAAGAAATAATGGTGCCCCAAGCAATCGTGCCGTTTTGGATGCCTATTCTTTTGTACACGCATGAAAAACGATAGTTCGGAAGAAAATAAAAGGAAAATACCAACTAGATTGACGGATGGATCTGTCATTCAGAACAGCTTTTGTCCAGAACATCTGATACGAGAGCGATATACAGAGAGATAGAGAGTGAGAGATATATACAAACAGAGAGAGAAAGAGAAAAGAGAGAGAAAAGGAGAGAGAGAGAGAGAGAGAGAGAGAAAGAGATAAAGAAATTTATAGAGAGAGATAGAGACAAGATTTACATTGCACTGGAAATGCTAATTGATCTTTAGCGTTCTTGAGGGTGACATTTGTTTGCAATTACTAGGAAGAACAAGGTAGATATGCAGTACTCTTGCTCATATAATCAATGTTTGTTAAAATGGCGATTAACAACTTTGTTGTTGTTAAGATTTACAAACTTGTTCGTCACACCAGTGCATTTGAGATAAAAATTGACATCTCGTAATGCGATTGTATCGTTAAAGGGCAATCCAAGTCTTGTAATTAGTTAATTTGTAGAAAGGCGGAAAAATAGAAGAAACAAAATGGCAACAGTAAGAAAGAAATTGGAACAACAATAAGGAGGTAAAAAATGTCTGAAATATGAAATCTCTAATTAAAATATATATGCGAATCTGAAATTGGCAGTTTGGTCAGTGGATTATATCATAGTCACTAACTGGGGGGTGTTTCACAAAGATCCTAAGTTGAACTTATCTCTAAGTTGGACTTAAAAATTATGGAAAGCCATTAGCATCATTGAAAATATTTTGTTAAAGGTATTTTAAAAGGCATAAAATGTTGATTCAAATCATTCATATTTTCTATTATCATGGGAGATTTCATGTTGTTGACGTGGAATTTATGAAAAGTCTAAAATACTTGAATTTCTGCTTTTGAGTTTATTTCATTTTAAGGCTCCAATGGCTGTCCATAATTTTTAAGTCCAACTTAGAGATAAGTTCTACTTAGGATCTTTGTGAAACACCCCCCAGGTCTCCCGTTTGTCAAAAACACAACAATCATACATTTCTTATTTTCTCCTTAGTGCCTTCTTCATTGGGGCACTACTCAAAGTATAATATGGAGAGCATATCCTACTAGGGGGTGTTTCACAAAGATCCTAGTCGAACTTACTTTAAGATGGACTTAAAACGCATGGAAAGATGTTAGTATCTTTGAAAATATTTTTAAAAGTATTTTTAATAGGCATAGCATGTTGATTCTAATCATTCATATTTTCTATTATCATGGGAGATTTCATGTTCTTTTCAAGTTCAAGTTCAAGTTTTATTTCAATTCAAATCCATAAAAAACATATGAGATACAGAATATATACAATATAGAAAACACAAAATACACACAAAATGGAAACATGTCTACAAATATATCGGAAATATAAAAAGTTAAACAGCAATAGAAATGAATTGGGGAAACTGCAAATAAAACCGTAAGGTTCTGTCGAGGCAGCTCCCTGTTATTAAAAGATACATATACAAGTTCCAACAATTGGCTATAAAAAGTATAACAATAACAAAACAGTGTACAAAACATAGGAGACGTATTAACATGCAAATATTATAATTATAGATTTAAAAACAGATGAAGTATTTTTTTAGTTTAGATTTAAAAGAGTTTAAGAAAGCAGTATCACGGATATCTCTGGGGAGAGAATTCCATATTTTCGGGCCAGTGTGTCTAAAAGTAAATGAGGAATTTGTTGATGGACATTTTTCAATAAAATAGTTATCAGGATTTCTAGTATTATAATTATGAACATATTTTTTACATTTCATCATAGTGGTAAGATTAATCGGCAGTTTATCAGTTTTATGTTTAAAAACCATGAGTGATATACAATATTGATTCAATTGAAAAATATTTAAAAACTGTAGTTGTTGAAATAATGGTATTGAATGGGCATTGAAATCAGACATAAGACATATTCTTACTATACGCTTGATGTGTTCTTGATGTGGAATTAATAAGAAGTCTAAAATACCTGAAGTTTTA